TCTGCAAAAGTAACAAATCATGATCGCGTAAACAAACCTTCTCTGTGTTGCACATATCGTTCGAGATTTGTGAATGTTTCCAGATAAGTTGGTGATACGTTGTTGTTTGAATGGCTGTTTGAGTTATTATTGCATGATGGTCCCATTGATGGCGATTCGGCAGTGCAAGTGCTCGCAACGGGTAACGGCGCGAAGAATTCGTTCAGTATTGCTGGGTCCTTCAACATAATCGCTACTTAACAAACGATCAAAAATCTATTTACATTTACTCATTTCAGTCATAAATAAATGATTGAGAAGTATGAATGATAAAGAATGAGTGCATGACTGAGTGGATGGACAATAGGCAATTGAATGCGTACTCACTGGACACACGCATGTCTAGGGTTGACCTCACCTCAGGCTATCAATAAAAGTCGAACTTACCTTATCCACTTCAGGCTGTAAAGAGCATCACCTCAAAACCAAAACAACAATAAGCTACTGCTCCTTTAGAATCTTCCCAACGACTTTCGGATAGCATTGCTCTACGACTCACTCAACAATTCAACTCAGTTTCACATCTATATAGCCAATCAACTATTTCTCAATATTGCACAACATTGCGCTAAGACACGCCCGCTCACCCGTCTGCCTCAGTGACGTCATTCGAAAGGAATACGGTTGAAATTTGTGAATCAATGTGATGCATGATTCACTGCAAAGACGAATGTATTGCGATGCGTTGTGCAAACTTTTTGCAAACAGGTGAAATTTCCATACATAAAAATGATCATGAAGAGAAAGACACAATCATTTTTATGTTCGGTCAGTTTGATTATCAATTCTGGAAGAGGACTGTTGAATGCAAAGGAAAATGACACCGCAACGGGCCATTCCACTCACTCACTCATGCACTCCACTCCACGATTCATTCCCTTCCTCCCATCTTTTGACACGGAATTTTTGATTCCGGTTAATGTCTAACTCAAAATTCAGTTAGTCATAGGAGCTAAAATCGTAAATTTTGCTCGGCACAGCTCAACATTTTCAGATCTTATGAATTTATTGAAACTTCTTCAAATGCAAATGATTATTATATAAAAATCGCACCAAATCCATCGAGTGAATATTTGCTGATGACGTTGTTGGCATATTTGTGATATCGTCATAAGCATGGTCATGATCAACATTCAGCATATCATCCAAATGATCTTCACGCATAATAGCATCAAATTTGGACTGTACTGGAAC